ACCGCCGGTGGCCAATCCCTGAACGGCGACCACCAGCTGACCATCGCCAAAGCCACCCGCCGAACTAATCGTATCCGTGGATTGGGGTGTGGCTGCAGTGGTTCCTATGGTGGCACCACCACCCGCGATTGCCTCGCCACCTGGCTGCTGTGGTTGCGATTTGGTGTTGTTGCGCAAACTGTGATTCACTTTTCGCCACATGCGCTCCATCTTGAAAAATCCTCTGGATTTCTTTTACAATTGCTATGTGGCCTTGTTGTTGAAAATGATTGGTGAAATATCTTTGTTAGCTTATTATAGTTTCCATTACTCTATGCGCTATACCCCAACAAATAGTTTACTAATTAATAATTGTCAGGGGTCTCTCTAAGTTAATGACAAATGCTTTCCATCTTGTAGAATCTGCTAGTTTTGTAATGGTGGTTCGTTGTTGAATAATTGGTGAGTTGTTAAAAATGATTGTTGAACATCTTTGTTATCTTTTCGAACTTTTCTAAAGTGTATTTTTGTTGTTGAACTTTAATCTTTCCAATCAATTTTATATAATTTTGGTTTTGTTTATAAAACTACTTATTTGTTTGTTATTATTATTTATAGGTCCAAAATAATTTGTTGATAAATGTAATTGTGCGTTTTGTGAATTGTTGCTTAACAAATTTGTGACTTTATGTAATATGATTAGCGTATTATTTAGGTATTTTTTTTTTATTCGACATATATTAACACTGTCGTTAACTTTATTTAATTAAATTTATGGAAGCCGTAGTTTTAAGATAATGTCGTTTTGCTTAACCCACAACAATTATTAAAATTCAAGCCTTCTTAGTTGTTATTAAAATGTTATGCCAGTTTAAATTTTAGTGCGAGTTTTTGTTAGTTGTTTGCCATTAATATGAACTAAGCCTATAGATTTAATGATGATAATTTTGGTAAGCACTTTGTTATAATTTGTTGTTTGTTTTCGTTTTTTTTGAAATGTTTTGCTGGGAAGGTTAAAGTATTTGTATAAACAGCTAGTTGTTAACCTTTTCGTTGTTGAAGTTGTTAGTTTTTAATAGTTATTGTTGTAATTTGTTGATATATTATTTGTTGTTGAAGGTTTTTTTGGGAAAACATAGTATAAAAACTGTTGATGTTGTAAGTTTTGGTTGTTTCGGTTGTTGTTGGATATCGTTGTCAATTGTTGTTGAAGATTGTTATACTTGGCAGTTGTTGTTAGTTGGTATTTTCTGAGATTGTTCTTGACGTTTGTTGTTGCAGATTGTTGTTCTTGCTAGCGATTACTATAAGTTTTTGCTATAGTTTAATAATGTGGGCTGTTGTTGTTGGTTGTTCTTTTGGGTTGCTTTCTTGGTTTTTCTTTTTCCTAAGGGAAATTGAAGCTAGCTACAAGGGTTGGCCACACTCCTTCGTCTATTTTTTAGCTTTTTCTTTCCGTCCTCAGGGTTTTCTTTTACCCTTTGATGTTGTTGTTGTTTGTTGTTAACTTATTGTTTGTAGGCGGCAGTGTTTAGTTGTTGTTGCGGTAGTTTTTGTTGTTGCTCGATTGGATTTCATCTTGGTTTACCTTGGATTCGGATCTCATACAAATACACAAAAGGACACTCATTCGATTATACAAAAAAAGCTACTCAGCAGGAACTATGCATTGTTGTTGTTATTTCGATTGTTGCTGTAGTTGTTGCGGTTGTTGTTGTTGTTGTTGTCTACGGATAGCGGAAGTGGAAAACAAAGAGCATGAATTTGAGTGTAGGACTTCACATCTATGCTTATGTGTGTATGTGCTAGCCTGTTTGAGTTCCTGATTGTGTGTAATTGTGTGGGTGAGTGGCCTGCACTTTTAGGTTAAGCACGCGCTTCACTCATTTCCTCTTTTTTTTATTTGTTTTATTTGTTGCCTAAGCCGCTCTATTTCAGCCCCTTTGTTGCTGTTGTTGTTTTTCACATTGCACTTGTGAATGAATGACGAATTTTTTCCACCGCCTCTCACTCTCTCTCTCTCTCGTTCTATCTCTTTCGCTCTATTGCCAACTCTCTCGTTTTCTCTTGCCTACTCAAAAGAGTTACGTTATTTTCCCGTTATCAGCACACACTTTATGAAGTTTTCATAATAGCACTTTGTTCCACCTTCAACATCTCACTTTTTTGCACACAATTTGTGTAATTTCGCGTTAGTTATTTGCCAAGCAGCGTGGAAAACACACTTATTAGATACTGCGAATTCCACAGCTACAACGCAGTTGTTGTCCCGTTGTCAGGTTGTTGCTGTAGTTGTTGTTGTTCCCGTTGTTGCTGCTACTGTTACCGTTAGCGCCTGGCTGGCTGCTGGCACGTTGAGTCAACATCATTTTAGTTCACCCGAAAAAAAAGCCGAAAAAAACAGGGACACTGTCTCTCTGCACAGTGGGACACATTGGGCAACTGTATGTTACAATTTTTAATTCAGAATCTTTACGTGTGATATAGGACCAAATAATAAACAACAAGCAATCTCCTTAGATTTTATACTTACAAATTAGGCTAACTATTCAAGTACCATAACTCAATTATTTATTAGTTTGACCATATTTTTATGGATATACAACAAAATTGTAGAAACTAGCATGATCCACATACGAAAAATTAACTTAATAAAACGACACGCGTATTTTTCAAATGGTCGTAATTAAAAATGTAATAAACATAACGAGATAGATAAAATATCAATCGTTAATAAAACGACACGCGAATTTTTCGAATGGTCGTATAAATCTCCTGAGCTAAAATAACTGAAAATATCGTGAAAATCTCTCATTTTCCACTAAATACAATATCTTTGACGTGCTGAATTGTTTTGTCCAAAGAATAAATTTCTCATAATGTATTTTTTTGTTATTATTGCCTACTTTTAGACGCCCTAAGAAATGATTTCAAATTTGATAACAATATAAATCCATTCATACTAAAAGTGTTCTTTCTTATCCCACTGTGCAAACCACAGAGCGTGAAAGTGGGATGGCGGAAGAGAGCGAGAGAGCTGGAGAGAGTGCGCTCTTGCCGCTAAAGGATGTGGATGTGGTCGTGCGTGGGCGCAAGGCAAGTTACGGTATCCAGTCCCGTGGCCGTGTATGTGTGTGTAACCGTGTCCTGTGTATAATACAAACACATTGCGCTGCAGAGGAATCCACACACAGAGAGCGGAAGAGCGAAAGAGAGAGCGGGAGGAAGCTGCCTAGCCTGCTTAACCGTTTTGATACTTTTTGTTGCCTACATTTTGGGGCCAGCACACACACACACCCTCGCACCCACACACAGACGCATTAAAGCGAATTTAAAATACCGGTTAAAAATTTGGAAACACACACACTGCTTAATTGGCCAACGGTTAACGGTTAACGATAAACGATCAATCGGAATTCACAGGAATCCACATTTTCTTTATCACACGAGAGCAGAGGCCGCTGCCCGTTTATTGGCAACGCGCACGCACAAATAACAGAGCCACTGTGGCAAAAGCAGCGGCTGTGAAGGCAGCGACAGCAGCTGAGAGCCGAGGACACGAGGAGCCCAGCCGAAGGGCTATTCCCACCCGAAGCTGAAACGAAGACTCAGCCGCTTGGATTTCAGGTCGTTAAAATGTAAACATTGGAGCCGGGCTAAAAAGAGAGGCAGAGCCGGAGAAAGAGAGCTCTCTCGCTGGCTGGGTTGCGCAGCAAGGCGACATCTGTTGTGCGTTTGCCGCAACCGAAGGACATTCACATCGCCTCCCTTATCGATAAGTCGCCTTGATGCACAGCCAACAGAGGACGCTTTGGTGATATATGCTAAACGATATAAAGCTTAACTTTCCATAACAAAAGATGACTTGAAAAAGTAACCGCTTTAATTCTAAATTAAACAAAGCGAATTCTTCAGCCTATCCTATCGCATAATCTATCGATGGTTTTATGTATCTAACACCAAAAGAGGGCGCATTGGTAGTATATACTTAGAAAGAAAGCCGAGAAAAATGAGTCGCATGAAATAACGAAACAACAGAGGGCGCTTTGGTAGTCCCCACTGAGAAAAGACTTTCCTTGAAAAAGGATTTCAGATAGAAAATCTTTAAAAATCAAAAGAAAATAGATTTTTTTAGCTTGGCGTTCAAATTATATTAAATGTTTATAGTTAATATGCCAACTTTGCTTGCCTGAATATTCTTGCATAAATATTCTTTTAAATATCAAATGCTGTTTTAAGGAAGCTGAGATTTCCTATGATATTTATAGATGATATTATGTATGATATTTTTATAGAAAAATAAATGGGAAATGAGAAAAAAATCTGTTATAATAAATTATTTTCTATCAGTATCACACATAAGCAGTGTTGTTATTTTTTATGAACTGAAACCAATAATCTTTTTAAGGCAATGAACTACGTGTTTGGATTATTATTTTAAACAATTTTATAAAAAGGTTATTAAATTTAGTAAAGTCCTAAAAGCTAATGTAACTCCAAAATTGTTGAAAGTGCTGGGCAGCATCTGATAAAAAGGCAATACTTTTTCCATAGTCCTTTTTCTTATACCCGTTACTCGCTTAGTATAGTTTTGCTCAAAATGCTTATTTGCTAAATATGTTCACCAGTCCACCCAAGATACAAAACTACAAGAAAAACACTGGCATGGATTTTTCGATTTTGTATAGTATTTTTAATTGTTTTGCCCGTCATCAAAGTATCCAATCAATTAATAAATCAATCAATTAATCGTTTCCAGCTTCCGCTTCCGATTTGGTATTCGTTTTCGTTTTTGTGGCTCATCCTCATCCTCTTCGCCTCTTAGTTGTACCACATATCTATCTTTAGTCGTTAAGTGTATATGTAGTATAAAGTTGATACTCATGCTAAATCGAATCGACTTGGTTTGCTTCGTTCAAAAAATGTTGTAGGCTGTGCAATACAATTACGTGATCGTTAGTTGACTTTAACATTTAGTTGACTGACATCAAACACACAAATATAGTTTATATTCCTTTTCATTTCTTTTTTTTTTTTGGTTTTCTTTTTAATATGTATGTACTCGTACTTATTTAAGGTTTGATGCATAATGCGATATCTGATCTGTATTATATTTAGATAGCACTACTGTTTTACACACACACGCACAAGGTTTACAAACGTTAGTTATTGTTTAGTTTAGTTTTGTAAAGAAAATTTCGATTAGTTTTCTTCTTAGACTTAGATTGCTAAAACGTTGGTATTGGCCTATTGTATGATTTCAATATAAATTGGTTTTCTGTTTTTTTGTTTTTTTTTTTTCAATTGCAAATCTCATTTTTAAGAAAGTGAGATCGTTTTCTGGTTGGCCGAAGTGCAGAGCCTTTTCAATTTTTTCTTAGTTTCTTTGCGTTTTATGCATTTTCCATTTTCGATTTTCCGATTTCCAGGATTTCATGCTCTTCTTCTTGTTGTTCTTGCTAGGCTATATCACAAAATGTGTTTTTTTTTTCTTTGTTTTTGTTTTTCTTGCAACTTCTCTTCCGCTCGAAGTGAAATCATAAAGTGTGGGATCATTGGATTGAGGAAAAGGAATGATCGATTTAAAAAATCAGGGCAAATGGGGAATTTGAGATTTACATATATAAGCATAACTCCTCAGCTGGTTTTCATTTCCACTTACTTTTTCGTTTCTCTAGATTTTGTGCAAATTTTGTGTTATCGATAACCTCCGATGATCAATGCCTTTATCGAAACAGTGCCAAATTTCGCTAACGATACCATTTTCCAATTAGGTTGTTGATAGGAAACCAAATTATTCTACTCAATAGGAAGAAATATGTTTTGGAACTTCAAAAAATGAAATAAAGATCGTTCTTAAACAATACGTTTAATAGATGTAATTAAAATCAACGATTTTTATTCATCGAACTTTTTTGTGGCACCGACAATCCCCGATTGATGAATGCGCGTATCGAAATAGTACAAAATTTCGCTATCGATACCCTTTTCCAATTGATTTGCCAAGTTAAATACAGATTTATATGTTCTACTCAAGAGGAAGGAACATGTTTTTGAACTATATGACATTAAATAAAGATCGTATTAAAATAAAACGTTTAATAGATTTAAAAAAATCTCCGATTTTCCTTTATTGAACTTTTTATGTGATCAAAAATCGCCGATCGATCAACGCTTCTATCGAAATTGTGCAAAATTTCGCTATTTACCAATTTAGGTCAAACTGTTCTACTTAACAGGAAGAAATATGTTTCAGAACTACAATTCAAAAAATAAAGATCGTATTATATAAAGCGCCTTGTAGACTTTTGGTGCCATCGAAAATCGCCGATTGATCAATGCTCGTATCTAAATAGTTCGAAATTTCGCTATCGAAACCATATCCAATTAAGTCGTGGATCAGAAAAACGAATTCTTCAAAATGAAGTACAGATATTATTGTTCTACTCAATAGAAAGGAATATGTTTTGGGTCTTTAAAAAATAAACAAAGATCGTCTTCAAAAAATACGCTAAATAGATATAAACGAAGCCTACGATTTTCATTTATATAACTTTGTTGTGCCATCGATAACACCGATTGTTTAATGCTTCTATCGAAATAATGCATCATTCCGCTATCGAAACCATTTTTCAATTGAGTTGTTTATCAGAAAACCGAATTCTCCCCAATGAAATAAAGATTTGATTGTTCTATTGAATGGGAAGGAATATGTTTTGGAACTACAAGTGAAATAAAGATCGTATTTAAATAATACGTTAATGGACTCAAATAAAATCTACAAATTTTATTTATCGAACTGTTAAACGTTGAAGTAAATAGCAAGAATACGCCTGGCCCAATGTGCCTCTATTTATATACACCTACGTGTGTTTTCGCATATATAAATTGCATTTGATGACTGATTCGCTTGACTTTTTTCCTTCTTTATATTAATACTCGCTCTCCATTTGGATTTCCTTTCGTGCCTAGTAAAAAACCCTCTAGTAGACAGTATTTGTAAATTAGTTTTGAGTTGCAACTGCAAAAAGGACAATTGGCAGTCCCAAATCGCGACCATTTGGCCGCTTTGCAAAAATATGTATTGCTGGCAATTTCCAAACCGATACCGAGATTTGTTGTGCTTTTTTTCGATTTTTTCGATTGGTTGGTCCGGAGTGTGTTTCTTTCAGCAGTTCTTGCCCAGCGACACCGGCTATACACACCCTAAATACATATAGCTAAAAAACATTTGCCAATCTGATACAATCTGATGCCCGATTGGAGCTATCTTTTACCCAGATGAGCCGGCTGCCTCGTTCGAAATCACAAAAATGTAGCTAAAATTTTTTTGATAGCGAATGGAATTCGCTTTGGTTAAAAAGTCTCGTTTAAAATTCCACTGTAACCCCGTTTTTGGGGTCTTGCCAGTTTTTTTTTGTTGTTGTCTGCCGCCAATTTCGTGTTCAACATCAAATATATTTCTATATTATTAAATATATGTATATATTTATATTCCGATTATGTGGTATGCATACGTATGTACATTTTCTTTAGCATAATAACTGTTTTTCTCTCTTTCTTTTCCATTCGCTTTTTTTTCATTGTGTTGTTTTTAAATTAGTTAAACTTACAAAAAAAATGGTATTTATAAAAATAAAAATAATATTTAAAAAAAACGTAAGTGTGAGGGGAAGGAAGGGGTAAAATGTAGATTGTAAATTAGGCAACATGTATAGAAATAAATTAATTAATTAGTACAAACTAAATGTAACTTATGTATTAATCGCTCGCCTACATAACAGAATTTAAGTTATCGTATAATGTATAGGGTTTTATGTATAATCGTATTAAAAAAAAGGATTTTATATATCTAATGCCAGCAAGTGTATATTCCTTTTTGTGATTTGCCGCTTTCTTTTGCTACAATTAGGTTGATTTTAGTTTACTGTTTTTTGTTATTAAGAAATATTTCAAAATTCTCTCCTTGGTTTTTGACGGTTCGAAAATCTTTCTTCTTTCTCTTTTCACTTGGCTACGTATGCATTTTTGTAGAAGTTTCTTGTTGGTTGGTGTTATATTTTTTCTTTTGGACAAATTCTCCAACGCCCGTCTATAAGTATGCTACGAAAATGTGTTTTTCAACGCTTTCGCTTACAGTTTTTGTTTTTCTCACTTGCGAGCGTTTTGGTGTTTTCACTTTCTTCTTAAACTTCTTTTGCTGGTAACAAATTGCATTTTTCATTATCATTTTTTTTGTTTGTTGTTGCTTACGCCTACAAAAATGTGGTTTTGCTGTTGCTGTTGTTGTTGTTGTTGTTGTTGCTTGGTCGGTCGTCATGGACAAATACAGAGCATTATATTCATGTCTGCTGCTGTTGAGATGCCGCCGCCGTGGCCAAAAAAATCGGTTGCTCCTTAATGTCCCCCCAATCTTAAACCAAGTGACCCAACCGAGAGTGTCGAGAGTTGGATGCCAGTTGCCAGATATTCAGATATTCAGATATTATCCGGGGAGTGGTCGCCTCCGCCTCTCAAAAGTGCTCCAAAGCCCTGCGCAGCTTCTTACAGTAAAATGGACATTAAGACTCGCGCTCCTTCTTCACCTTGACCTCCTCGCCCAGAATGGTGGTGATCTCGCCCTGCATGAAGGCCCACGGTATCACCGAGTTGGCCAACGGACAGCGATCGCCGCTGGGGCAGTACACCTCGTTGCCCAGACCCTGTCGATAAAAGAAAAGAAATTAGTTCAGGATTCACTGGAACCTAAAAACTCAACTACAACATACATTTCCAGCTGTTAAAAATGTATACTACATATACCTATCAATTTTATTATACAAATAATAATATTAAAATAATTCTTTAATAGATGATTTATATTTATGAGCTGTATTAAAATTTATAGTTGAAATCACTTTCCTTTGAACAATAATTATTTTTAGAGGTAGACAAAACTTAGGAATGCTTGGAGTTTCACCAGAATGAATCTTTATAAGATTATTTTAAAACTTTATGAAACTTTTGTAAAAAAAAATAAATTCTAAAAAGAATAAAAATTAAATATTGAATATTGTATTAGACTTAGTTCTACGAAACTCCAAAAACAATATCCCATATAAGACCAGGGGATTACAAAAATGAAAACTCTAAAAAAATGTTGGATTAGGAAAATTCTAAAATTTGTTGGTTTAAAAAAATTTTGGCATTGTTTGGCTTTACAAAACGTGACTTTTAAATAGTTTGTTCTTGAAAAACTCCTATTAAAATATCTAACTAATAACTAGAGTATTTAAAAAAGAAAAATTCTGTAATAATTTGGTTTAAAAAATTCCACTTTTAAATTGTTTTGTGGTTAGAAAATTAGTTCTTTGTGAAAATGTACTTAGTAAACTCCTATTAAAATGTACCTCATATTACTAGAGGATAACAAAATAATTATACAAAATTTTATTAAAAAAAATATCCAATTTAAAATTTTTTTGTGGTTGAATAATACTTTTTTTGACTTCCTTAAACGAAACACCTTAAAAATGCGCCTCTTATATCAAGGCGATTTTCAAAAAGTTCAAAGACTTAACAGAAAAGTTAGCTATTTATAAAAAAAAAAACAAGAGATACATTCTACGCTGGAGAGTTATGTTGTAGAGGAAGTGGTATCCATGTTTCGCCCCACTTACATTCTGTCGCTTGATGCTCTCGCGGCTGCAGGGAAAGCAGAACTTGTGGTGGTTCACCGAGGGGCACTGCACGAAGTGGGTGTCCTCCAATCGCTCCTGGCACAGGGTGCACTTGAGCGTGGCATTCTGGGCAGCAGCCGCCGCCGCCGCAGCTGCCGAATTCGAAGCGGCACTGCTGCCGGGAGCTCCTCCAAGACCGCCGCTGCCCGCCGAACCACCGCCGCTGGCCAGCGGTGTTCCACCACCCTGACTGCCACTGCTGCCGGGACCGGGATTCACGGAACCGCCGCTGCCATTACTGCCGGATGGTCCATTGCCACCGGCTGGACTTCCATCACCGGCCACCGAATTGGGTGCCATCGAGGCGGGCCCTATGGCTCCATTGCCACCGCCTCCGGAGCTGGCACCTGGTCCACCTGGTCCGCCGCTAGTGCAACTCAGCTGTCCGCTGCCGCCGTTCGGTCCGCCAAGGGGTCCGCTGGCGGCATTCGATCCGGGTCCTCCTCCTCCGCCACCGCCTCCAAGGCCACCGGCCACCACCGCCTGGCCCGGATTCGAGCCGCCCACCTCGGAGCTGGTGACGGTGGTGCTGGAAACGTGACGGGATCCGGATGAACGACGTCCCGACGAGGAACCTGCAAGGAAATCGGCAATTATCAAAATATGAATTAATTACTGTGGAGTAAATACAAATCAGGGGAGTTCCCCACAAATTAACTAAAATAATTTTAATAATAAAAAAAAACACATCAATTCCATAAAAAAAGAGTAAATAAAACACCATACAACTTAAAAATTAAATATAAAATCAAAGACATTTAATGTAATGCTTATTATATATACATTTAAGTTTATTTACTCGTGTAATCTTAAAATAATAAAAATGTAAAACAAGAAAAAAAATTTATTAAAAAACAAATTGAATGACTGTTAGAAACTCAATGCAAAGATGGACAATATATATACTCCAATAATAAAAATAAATATATACTTAGAGCTGTAGGTAGGGGTAGGGTTCGAACCATATTTTCTTAGCAAGTAGAGGAGATAACTTTTCCCCAGGACTTTCCGACACCACAGAAGAAAAAAATATATAAGCAAATATATAAAATAAACAAACAAGAAAAATTAAACCAATTAATAAGCCAAATATTAAACAATAATATACAATTTTTTATTTTTTTTGCATTTAGTACAGTCTTTAAAATTGGTTTAAAAATATTTTTAGATACTATATGATAGTTTACAATCATGCAGCTGACACTTAAATTAAAAATTAACCGAAACCAAAAATGTTGCTGCAAACTAACCCGAACTGTTCGGCGAGTGTACGCTGCGCGGGGGCAGCGGTCCCGAGGGCGGGCTCGATCCATTGCGTCGACTGGCCGGGGACATGTGCTCTGCAATATGAAGATGGTGTGGAATCGGATTAAGAATCGGATTGGCTGCACAGAAAAAAAAACAGCCAGATATCAATATGGTATCCGCAAGTATAGATATATTTTTGGTGTACTTAGTATTAATAATTTTAATATTATAATACAAAAAAATTTGAATATTCCAAAACTCCGATTGGCTGTATATCTAGATATCTATCAATATTTAATTAAAATTCTGCTCAAGTTTTATTTTATTTTTGCGATAAAATAAAAGTAATATATAAAAGCTTTGTTGACCATGATAGTAGATAGTAATTTAATGGTTCCAACTAAAGTTCGTGATCTGGGGATCTCGTGATCTCGTGAGTCAAGTGCAATGTACAATGGGCCTTGGCCCCACTTCGTCACAAGATTATACACTGACGTACACAAGTGTATACATATGTAGGTCTGTCAACTCAACCACAAACGACTATCCATACAGTCATGGGGCTAACAATATCACATCTGGCAGCCTATAATTAAAGAGCTCATCCTATAGTTCGTACTAAATTATACATAATTGACGTTGACATCGGAGAGGGTGTGTCAAAAAAGCAACCCCCCAAATTATTTCAAAATTGTATTGCTTATATGGGCGAATTCTGGATGTTCGTTTTTTCTAAGAAACCGATGGAAAATTAAAAAAAGTGCGATTTTACTTATGAAATAAAAGTCTATTACCGAAGTTATTTTTACACATTTCTATAAATGCATTTATAAAATTTTTTCACATTATTTTGTAGGTTTTTTTTTGTAAAACTCATTTTTTTTTCTTTTAACCCCACTGTGCGCTGTACATTTGTAAATATTTTGCAGAATTCGTCGAAGAACAAACCATTTTCATTCAACTTCTGCTTTCGATTTTTTTTAAGGCAAACAAAAAGTTTATCACATGTTTTCTTCTTCTTCTTAGTTCATTGCAAATGAAATTGTTGTTGTTTTTGAGGCTTGTTATTTTCTCGTTGTTGTTGTTATTTCGTCTGCGTAATTTTAGAACTTGGCACGAAACATGTTTCTATATTTTTTCTCGTGTACATATGTATACATATTTATGCATGTACTTAATTGTATATACATATGTATGTACAATTATACATTCATTTATTACTTGGCAACGCCGGCTCAGCAACAACAACAACAAGTTTCATTCACCGGCGAACCAACGAATGTGACGTCACAGCGGCACGATACGTTTGCGTGTCATTCTTGTTCCACTGTGCAGTGCACACAGCTGTTTTTTTTTTCTCCCTTTTGTTTTTGTTGCTCTTGTTTCACCGTTTCTTCGCCGTTGTCGTCGTTGTGTGCCTCTTCCTTTTTCTTTTTCTTGTTGGCAAAGTGCCAGAAGGCACGAAATGAATGGAATGAAACGAAACGAGTTCTGCTGCTGCTGCTGCTGCTGCGCATACGTCACGGCACGAATAAATAGCAAGAGTGAGAGGGAGAGAAGAAGCTGCCGGTTTCTCCATCTCGTTTTGTTATTTTTTTGCATGCCAGCATGCAATAATGTGTATGTACACCAGACACGCACACACACACGAATACATTTGCCGATTTGTTTTGACTGCGCTGCTGCTGCTTCTTCGTCGTCCTCTCTTTTCGTGTTTTATTTTCGCCCGCTGTTACGCCGCTGTTAGCGGTGCACTGTTAACTTGTTGGCTTTATGTACATTTTAATTTCTTCTTTTCGTATGCAATGCACGCGCACGCGTACCAGCTTGATATTGAAAATAAAAAAGAAGCAACAAAAAAAACAATAGCTGGACAAGAAGCTGATACACAACAAGCGAATGGAAAAACGTATTTAATTTGTATGCCCAACGGGCGATGGCACATTGCTCAAATGTCGACGCTTGTCAGTTTGCCGGCGGCGCACAGTGGGCTGCATACGAAATTAAGCTCACACATCTGCGGGCGAGCGCAGTGTGCTGTTATGTTTATTTATTTGATAAACTGTTGCTTCTTTGCTTTTGCTTTTTGCTAAATTGCTTACGCTGGCTAAATTGGCAAGAAAGGGAAGAAGAAGCTGCTGAGGAAAATGGCAAAAAGGAGGAGGTGAAAAAAGGAGGCAAAAAATAAGAAGAAGAAGAAGAAGACGACGAAGGAGAAGACATTGTGCATGTTGTGTGGCCCCAACACGTACACTCACAAAACGTACGTGTGCGTGTGTATTTATAGCATTTGTTTATATTTTGCATGCAAGAGTTGAAGAACAACAGCAATAAAAGCCAAAGCGAAAGCCCTCTCTCGCTCTCCTCCCCCATCCCCCATTCGCCGTCCCTTTCGCACTGCTGCACTTGCACAGTTGCATGTGCGTGGCCCATTGAGAAGAATGCGGAGATAGCGAGCGACAGAGCGAGACAGCAGGCCTGCCACATACAGTTGCAAGTACCACGCACAGTGGGCGAAATGCAAATAAGTGAATGCTAAATGTGAATGAATCAAGGATTATTCATTTCCATTAAGCAACTTTCAAACGTAGAATACATTTAAGCTACGAATTTTTAATTTATATTGTTATTTTATTTCCTTTTCCTAGTAGTGAATTTAAAAAGAAAACATAAGTTTAGGTTATTTTTAACTCCTATTCTTAAGGTCTTTTAAGATAGAACATGTTTAAACTTTAGGTAAGACTTAAAAAACCAAAAGTTAATGAAAACAAAATGTGTGTATAGCAACTTTGGTTATTGTTTTTGACAAAATATTTCAAAAATAGAAAACAAAATACGATAAATATAAATTTAATGCATATTTTCTTACCTATTTTAATTGAAAGAAAAATTGTTGAGATTTTTAAAACTTAAATGTATGTCTGATTTATTGCCTCAGAGATTTACGGGTATTTCACTTTAGTACGTTGGCCAATAAACAATTTAAGTGAATTACCCATTAAGCTACCTAATTTCGTTCTAGATCATTAACATTTCTCAGCATTATTCATTAGGCATTCTAATTCCAAGGAACCACTGTAATCAGTTTCAGTTTACTGCATTCGATTCGAACTTCACTTGACTGCAACTTCATTGCAATCTATTTCTGAAACGACTTTTTATTAACGCACACAGATGTATTATGTATCTTAGTGCTACAGTGCATATATGTTCCTCAATGTTTATTTGTTTTTTCATACAATCATCGGAGCTGAAAACAAACAAATTTGCGTGATCTCCCTTCTTAGTATTCGAATATGAAACTATTTATAGATTAGTTTACGTTTTCCGCCGTCCAACACATTTTGCCTGGCTATGGAATATTTTTCTCGATATTCCACGATTCTTTTTTCGCACTACTTTGTTAGAATGAATCATTTGACAATTTATTACAAAAAAAAAAAAAAGAAAAAACCGGGGCGAGAAACACAAACAATAAATATTTATACAATGTTGTATATGAGAAAAGTAACCATATTGTGCATGGTGTTTATTTGTGGAATAGAAACTATTCGCCTTCGAATGAATGAAAACGAATCGCCCCAGCACCACACCCAGTGGGCGGCAGCCACGCCCTCCCCCACGCCTTTCTCGCTTTTCGCAACCCTAGAAACTACACATATTCTTCCGGATATTGATGAGATTTCCCTGGGGAAAGAAAAGCAATTGCTGGCAAAATAAACGAAACACGAACTGTAGGAATTCGAGCGGAATCAAAATTATCGCTGTTAACATTCTGCGTTCCTGATTATATCATATTTTATTTACTTCAAAGGAAATCGTTGCTTGATATTTTCAACAAGTTTTTATTGCTTATCAGAGCTGCGCTAATAGCAAACTCCAAAACAATAGGTATATCACCTTATTTGATAAGACCTACAACTTCCATAATAACCCAATAAGTAATACATAATGTTGAGTTGATAGTACTCCTTATCTACAAACGGTTTCTTGAAATTATCAAACCACGTGACTTACAAAAAGCAAGAGTCATAATAATCAAAAGATGTTTTGGAAGTATTTCAAAGACCGTTTTTGTGATAAGCAATTCTCATTTCAAGACTTATTATAAAAACTACTATATATTGTTTTCTAAAATTATCGGACCAGGTCCAAAAATATTCCATTCGCTACTTCATACCAATATTTTTTATTTTTTCCTTTAAAAATAAGACCCTCACTGTTTAATGTATACTTATAGGCCATGTTATATGTTATTCAGCGATATAATAAAATGGAATATTGACCCAAGTGGGAGCACTTTTAAGTGGATTCAATCGTCATCGATTGATTTCCGCAAGCACATCTTCAAAGGGCAATCGTTTGTTTGTGTTTGCTTAATGTGGAAAACAGAAAACTTTAACAACAGGCCGAAGATCTAATGAAAAATAAACAAATGTGTTACAGGGTGCATCTCACGGTACACCACCACCACTCAAATAAATCGAGCTACGAAAAAATTAAAACGACCCGGTACAATGCGGCGCTATCAGTCAAAGTTGGCCGTGGCTGGGCTGGGAGTCGATAAGATAGGCGGCTGAGGACCCCATCGACCAGTCCACTTAACAATTAGATAAGATACACAAAACAGCTGTGTGTATAACGTATTAAGACCGGCCAAGAGCAAACGAAAGTGGAATGGAAGTGAAAATGGAATTTAAAATGAAATCGAAGCGGTATATTGTGTACCCTGTACTCCTCGTAACTCACATGTATGTACATACTTTCCCCCGGAATCCGTCTAGATGGTTTCTTTTCTTATCTCCATGTCGGCTTTCGGTCGGAAAAGAGCTTATCAACACAGTCATAAAATCGGAATGATCTCACTGCAGAGATCAAGAAACTGGAGGGCTTACACAAATCAAAAAAAAAAGAAAAGGCGATAAAGCTTGGCTTCCAATAATGTTTAGTTCTAGGAAATACATAAAGTATCCATTAAGAGTTTATAGAGATTAGTTAGTTAAAAATACCTTATCTTAAATATTCCTATGAATTCTCAAGAATTGTTGATCCATGTTTCTACCAAACACACTATGAAATGTTTTCTAAAATTTTAAATTTTTATTATTTCTAAATAACTTTGCTTAACACTTGAACC